CCCGGAAGTAGGATTCGTCACGTCATCACTGAACAACCGGATATAAATACAGACCATTTACCATTTTACAAACATGGAGTCGTCAGGGTGTCCAACTGGCTCGGTGTACCTGGTATGACTTGTTGCAGAGATCACAGCTGAAGGGTTTTGTCCCAGTGTGCGTGGGCTTGTGTTTGTCCAGGAGGGCGGCGCTGGTAAACAGCTTACTGCAGGTGGGACACTTGTGGAACTCCTTGGGGTGAAACTCCTGGATGTGCTGCCGATGCTCGTCCAGCGACGAGAAGCTGAGACAGCACTTCTGACAGTCGTGGGGCTCCGACAGGTCTGACACAGAGCAAACACAGCGTCACTGAAACCTGACCAGCACACACAAGCTACCACAGTGTTTGGTGCATTCCCTGAAGAATCCCATTGCTCCCAGTAAGGAAAGGAAACTGAACCTTGGTGCAACCCCTTCATGATGTGTTCTGATAACTGGCACGAGTTTAAGTCGGGCTGCAGCTACACCCGTGTTTCCCCACCTGATGGAGCCACGGCGCACCTACGTGCCGTGGCTCCATCAGGTGGGGAAACACGGCTGCAGTGTGATGATGAAGGTGATTTGTGAAGACCCAGGCAGCAGATCTGATCCACGCTTCTACTGGGTTTCACACCATTAGTACATATGAGACTGTTACTGGCATTGGTGAGATGTGAGGCCCCGGCAGGACCTGAGAGGCCGTCTGCGAGGCTGAAGACACGACGTCTGACGTGTCAGTAATAGTCACAGGGCAGCGATCAGCTGGGACGTACAGCTGCAGTCGGCCTGAAGCCGCTACAGGAACACGTCCGCCTTTGACAACATGGCTGTTAAATGAAAAGTGCCCCACCCCAAAACCAGCTGCATGTATGGATCATCAGTGCCAGTCCTTCATATGTTAGAGAAGCCAGTATGTAAACGCAGATTTACTTTTCCAAACTTTACTGGAAAAACGTTCTTACGGTGGAAGGTGTGCAGGTGCACAGTGAGCCCGCTGGCCTGGCTGTAGCCTTTGCCACACTCTCGGCATACGTAGGGCCGGTCTCCCGTGTGCGTCCGCACGTGACGCGTCAGCTCTATGGACTGGGCGAAGACAGCCTTGCAGTACTGGCACACATACATCTTCCCTGGAAAATCAAAGAAGCACACAAATGTTGTCTGTACATGCTGCATGATAGAAATACTGCATCTGTGCACGCTGTTGGTTTCTGGGTGTTGCACAGCAAACAGCCTGGAGGAGCCAGGACACCCTCTGATTGGCTCGCCGCCGCGCCGTCATCACACAGATGCAGTGAGACCCAAAGGCCTTAAAGGTGGGCAGAAAAGTACAAAACAGCACAGCCAGACTGGAAACTGCCCAGTTTGGCTGCGCTGTTGTGTTTTGTTGTCCACAGACTCGAGCTGAGTCGCACAAACCTCTGTGCGTCTGTGCGACTCTCAGCTTCTCTGCAGGATTATTATTGAAATGCTGCTTTTAAAAAACATTGTACGCTCGAGTCTTCAGCGCGGCTGCGACGCACATCAGCGACGCACATCAGCGACGCACATCAGCGACGCACATCAGCCTCCTGTGTGTTTGTGTCACACGGGAGGTTATAAGCTGCCTGCTCAGCTGCCTCTCTGCGTTTGGATGAACCGCAGCACCTTCTGCTTGTTATGTTTTGCACATTTCACCAAATGAAGCTCTGTTTAGGTACTTTGTCGGCTTCATTTAGCACATTTTTCACCACTGCTGCTTTTTACACTTCAGCTGGCTGGTTGCTGATCTTATACCATTAAGCTCATTCATCAAATTCTACAAACATCTGAAAGCATTTCAGTCTTCAGCCTGCGTTTCTGCTGGGAAAGGCTTGTTCCAGGTAGTGTGATGCCGATGAAGCGCTCCATGTTCCTCAGCTATTCCACCACCACTAGATTCCTCTTCTTTTGTCATGTGTGCTGGTGTGTTTCTTATTTCTAACTTTATATTCAACTTTATTCAACAAATTTCCACAAATCAATCCAAGATTCATCTGAAGCGTGATCCTTCAGCTTCATCTTTGAAGGCAGTGACGTCCTCCCACTGTGTGGGAACCAGTGTCTCCAGTGGGAACCAGTGTCTCCAAGCCTATCCTCGTTTCCTGCCGTTCTCTAGCAACACAAACCTCCAGCAGCAGCATCACAGCAGACTTTTTAATGTGATAATTATACGACCTTGTAGTTTACTGTTATATTCCTATGTTCCTTATAGATTTGAATCACCAGTTGAGTCACATGATCTGTGACACGTGATCTCTTAGATTAGCCCGATCCTGCCGACAGCACACCTTCATGTGGACGTGAAGGGGAAACCCCGGGTTGGTTTACAGAGTCAGAACCTGATGGACATGTCAGGGTGAATCCAGATGAAGCAAACGAGCTGTGTAGCACAGGTCCTTGGGTCCAGCTCAGCCTTGATTCATGCTTTTGGAAAAGGCTTCAGGCTTAAAGCTGCTCTTTGAGCTCTGTCTCCCAGTAACACTCTCCTAAAACCCAGTCTAACCCTGCAGTGGTCGCCCACTGTCTTTAATAAGCACAGACCTAAAAGAAATGACCACAGCCCTGCCCACTACAACAGCACAGTCACCTCAACTGGAACAAAAGAACCATACTGGTGCACTGTGATGATGCGCGGGACTCTACAGCTCCACACTGACACCACTAAGGTGGATATCACAGCCAGCCAAACGGAGCTTTTCAACCTCCACGCTTTGTGCGATCCCTCCTTCCTCTCTCTTTCTCCCCTTGGTTTCCTTGGTGATAGGTGTGTCACCCATCAATAACATCATCATCATAACTCTGTGGGTTTGAAGTCTCAACACTTTATCTCTCTGGTTTGTCCTGGATGTTGAATCTTTGTTTTGTTCTTGTATCAGTGACAAGATGTTACACGTGAAAGACACATATCACCACTTGTATATCACACAACCCCAAAGGTGTGTGTGTGTGTGTGTGTGTGTGTGTGTGTCTTACCCTCAGAGTGTCTCTTTTTGGTGTGGTATGCAAGTGCAGCAGCCACGCTGAAGCTCATGTCACAGTGCTTGCAGTGGTAGGGTTTCTCCCCTGTGTGCAGCCTCATGTGATTCTTCAGAGATGAGTTTGCACCAAACTTCGCGCCGCATTCATCACAAGCAAACGGCTTCTCTTCAAAGTGCTCAGTGCGCTTGTGGTAAATCATACCTAAGAAATGAGAAGCACTCATTAAATGGAACAAAGTGAAACGATCGCTGTGCTGTGACGCGCGAGCTGGCCCCAAACTGAGCGCAGAGTTCATGTTACGACAGATGTGATCTTTCCCACAGTCCTTTGCACACGGCAGCACACGTTTGCTGCCTACGCTGTACGCACTGCAGCTGTGCTGACCAGAGTCGAGTGCACAGCGGGGAAACCACACATCTGTCAGGCACGGTGTTCCTGCCTTAGAAGGTTTCTTTGCTGGTGAAAGGACCTGTTTCAGGTCCTTTTGAGATTTAGACTGTAGCCTAGCAGCAACATCAAATGTAGAGCGGCACAAAGTTATACTCCACTCAACAAAAGAAACAGAAGCACAGCAGCAGCTAGCAGTGCTGGCTGCCAGCTCGCAGCTTCCATCTCTGACTGGGATTAAACCAGCAGCCCCATGTTTTCATTACATTCATATTTGCCTGATAATTCAGGTAGTGTTACTGCTTGTGACGCTTCTGTATAGTAAATGCTGAAACCAGAAGCCAGAATAAGAAACACGTCAGTACCTCATCGACGGTTCCTGCTCTGATCATTATCAAACACCAACACTGTGGATGCAGCCCTCACATCTCAGCCTGAGAACAGCTGTGAGATCAGCACGCCGTTTGCTGCAGCACAGACACTGATCACATCAATTATCTTGCTTTAATGTCACGTGACTTTACCCGACGGGTGGGCGAAGGTGCGGCCGCAGAGGTCACAGGCCGCCTTCTTCTTGACCCGCGTGGCGCTGCGGTGAGCCTCGGCCCGGTGGCGCTGCAGGGCCCGCTTAGACAGCTTCTCAGGACACTCGGGACACTGCTGCTCACACTCCTGGGACATGGAGCAGCGCTTCATGTGTGCTAGCATTCGACACTTGTAATCAAAGCTCTTCTTACACCAGTGACAGCAGTAAGGTTTGGCGTGACAGGAAGCAGGAGAGGAGCAGGGAGGGGAACACTCGGTTGCTACAGCTGCATCTTCCTGCTCCTCCTTGTTCTCCGCCTCGTCACCGTTTTCATCTTCTTCCTGGACACGATCTTCACTCCTGTTCTCCTGCTCTGAGTCAGCTGCAAACATGGACGACAGACTCAAAATACGTAGAAGACATCCACTAAAAAAGCTTCCTATCACATCCTGTCCATTTGCTGGACGGACACAAATGTATATAAATACCGAGCTGTCCTTAATGAAGACAGACCTACACATCGTCTTTCATGTTACTCCCGGTGCTCGTCTTTACCTCCAGTGTGGCTGTCATCGGGCTGCCGTACGCTCCTCTCCAGCTCCTCCAGCAGAGGGAGCAGCTGTGTGGGACAGGACGATGAAGCTTTCTGCTTGGCGGTGCGCAGCAGCTTGATAAGCCCCTCCTCTCCGATCTGACCCTCTTTCACTTTACTCATCAGCTTCTCCGACACGGAGCTGGGATCAGCCTCCTCACAGCACCGACACACAACCTGAGAGAGCACAAAGTGCAAACAAAATGAAATTGTGGAGCAGCAGCAACCTTCCAGTCAGTAGATGGCGCCCTCGAGCTACAGCCAGGAGCCGTCACAGCTGTAGCTCAGAGCGAGTTGTGCGCTCCCAGTACGCTGACCATGAGGTGGTGCGGTCAGCGAAATGGGAACAGATATGTGCTTTTGGCTCCAGTACGTAGAGATACACTGTTACTGCCGTCGTCTTCTATGTGGAGCCACAACTGTGCTTCGGTTCATGCTCGAGTGACACGGAGTCCAACAAAGGAGGACAGCCTGGAGAGCTACTGTTCAGGGCTCAAAGTCACAACATGCAAACATGTTAAACAACGTGCAAGGGAGGGGTTCTCAACCCGCGGGGCCTGGGACAATGAATACATTAAATAAATTAATAGTATTTAATTGAAACGTGTTTATTAGTGTTAGTGACTTCTACACTGGGAGATTACTGTGATCTTGAAATATTACATTTAAATGATATTTGATTATTTTTCGTCGGTCAAACAAGCGCCACACTTCACCTCAGGAGGCCACTGAGAATAACTGCAGTGATGCTGAGGTAACCGAGACGTGGAACGGCATCCCGACACGAACGTGTGGATCCTCAGCTCCACAAATTCAGCTCGAGGCTCAGAGGCTCAGCGGCGCGATGACCGTTAGTTTGCTACGTGAATCCTTCCAGCTTTTTATTGTGTTGGTTTCTTGTTAGTATTTTAGTACATAAAGAAAATGTAGTTTTCTCTGTAGCACTTCGTGTGTTTCATAAGCAACACACTTTGTATGTCGTTGTTTATACAAAGCATGAAGGTCAAAGAGCAGTATTTACAGGGGCATCTTCATTTTGGATGTGTTTGCAGCTCGGTGGCTTTTTTATGAAACCGGGTCCAAACGGCTCTTTGGGTGTTAAAGGTAGCCGAGCCGTGAGCTAAGGTGGTATTAGATGCAGTCAAACTGTAGAAGAACCAGAGCTTCCTGTTGTACCTGTCGCTCTCTTTCTGTCAGGCTCTCTGCTGCTTGGCTCAGCAGTTCCACAACAGACGACGTGTTGGCGAGGAGACCAGACTCGCTGGACAGCCTGGCTGCCGACGTGTCGCCACCTTCTGAGGATTTGATGTCTTCGGGCCCTGTGGACAGAAAACTGCTTCACTGAGTGAATGGGTTAAATGCAGAGAGGGATTTTCCCTACGGGGACCAATAAAGTACTCTTTCTTTCTTTCTTTCTTTCTTTCTTTCTTTCTTTCTTTTCTATAAAATAAAGTCTAGTTGTTATCTTGTTTATTGTAGGGAGACTATTTTAGACCAGGCGTGGGCAACTCCAGGCCTGGAGGGCCTGCAGGTTTAAGATCTCATCCTGGGTCAACACTCCTGAATCTCATGATGAGCTCATTAGCAGGCCTCTGGAGAACATCTGGAGGTCAATCAGCTGTGTCGGATCAGGGACACACCTAAAACCAGCAGGACACCGGCCCTCGAGGCCTGGCGTTGCCCACGCCTGTTTTAGACTCTATTTCCAGTAACGTGTGATTTGAATTATTCCTAGATCGACTCACACTATTAAATTGCCCAAACTACGGGTTTAAACATAAGAATGACCTGATGTGTCAGGGAGCTCCACGCGGGCCCTTTTAATCGCCGGCTCGTCATCGCGGTCATGCTCAAACGATTCTTTTTTCAGCTCGTCCGTCACCTCCGCCTCGTCTGAAGACGGGTTGTGCTTGCTGGGCGAGGCTGAGCCTTCAGGCTTCATATTCGGGGCTTTGTCGGTCACGGTGAGGTGTGGCACAGCGGAGCTCACTGATACCGGGGGCTTCTGGTTCACCAGGCTGGTGAGGACTTGCTTAAAGCCAACGGCCACGTCATACATCTGCAGGCTGTCTGCAGCGGCGACTATGCGACTGACGTTGTGTTTACCTGGAGGCAGTTTACCAGTGTAGACCATGTCCAGGAGGCAGCCAAACTCCTGCGAGGAAACCACAGCTGTGTCGATGGAGATGGTGTCGGAGCCATCCAGGAGAGACCTGACGGAGACAGCACCGTTCTGGTTTTAAGCTGCAGTGTAATAAAAGCGAACAGCGACTGCAGCAGCCACCTGTACACCGTGCTGGCATCAACATTAAAGTATGACACAAAGAGCACATCTGTAACAGCTGGTCATAAACTTTACTCACGTGTTAGATTTCATGGTCCTCAATAAACACATTTTTAAAAAGCCAATATTTCTGTCCAGCTGACAAAAAGCCAAACTAAAAGTTCATGAGCTGAATTTGACTCATTCTTCCACAGGAGCGCTGCTGAGATTAGATGAACACTGTAAGGTCCAAATATGTGACTGCAGAAGAGTCACCAGGTCTACCTGAAAAGCATGCTGGAGGCAGCCAGCACCAGTTTATGTGCGCGATGACGACCCTCTCCCACCAAGATGGTGCAGTCGCAGAAGTGCTCCTCCTTCCTCAAGGCCCACAGCTGCTGCATCAGCTGGCTGCTGTAGTTGGGTAACTCCATCATGTTGGTTTCAGGGCGACTGCACCAACCACAGCTGTAATCGTTTCATGTCCAAACACACAATCAGGCCTGCAGCATTATCACAACTCATCACTGGTACTTTTCACTAAAACTGCGTTTATACCGTACTCACTCTGTGCGCCGGCAGCACGAGAGAGACTCACACAAAGCTGCAGTTTATCCGACTACTGTGTAAAAAGCTAATGTTTTTATTACAACATCAACTAGTGTATGAAGCACCACGTGATGCCGGACACGGTAACGCGTGGTGTCTTCACTGTGTCGTCAAACAACTGCTCTACGTCTTATCAGCAACTAACGTTCAGGCTTCTTAAACAGTGTTTACCGGAATGTAACTAGCTGTAGCCTAGCTAAGGTTGCTAATGTGCTCCAGAGAAGGTAACTAGTTCCTGTAATATTAGTGAAGCACGCTGCGATACAGGAGCGCTCCCAGTAGAATAAACCCCAGAGCATCACTAAGGGCTGTACCTTGAATTATTCAATCCGAGTCTTTATTTAAACTTCTCTGCTGAACAATTCTGCCGTGCGCAATAAAGCTCAACTGTTTTGAAAATGGCGACACGCAGTACGTGAACAAATTGGGACACTTCCGGTTGAAGAAGTCCCATCACAGCGAGCGGTTCGCTTTAAATCTGTTTGTATGACCGTTGGGCCTTCACCGGAGTAGTCATTCAGGGACGTGCGGTGTGGGCTCGTGTCAAACAACAGCTCCACAGTTCATTACAAATAGATTCTCGCAAAATTATTAAATTAACGACAAATACATAAAAGCTTTTGCCTGGAACAAGAATCTGTTATATATTCGTAATACAGCGGATGTTCGCTTTAAATCAGCGGCCCCCGGGCACTGGACCGGTACCGGGCCGCGAGAGTTGAAGCTCGGGTGTGAACTGTCTGGTTTCCAGGGGGTTTATCGTGTTGTAGGTGCGTCTTATTTTGAAAGAAATACGTACCCGTTACTATAGCGACCAGAGAGCATTAAGGGGCAGAGAGGACGTTACCGTCAGTGTTGGCGCGTTTCAGGAGCACGCTGCTAACACACAGTGAATTCACGTTTACCGTTATAGTTACAAAATACCGCCGCGGTTCTCTCGCTCGTATCGATTTGTTGTTGCATTTGTCCGCCACACCTTAAAGGCCGCTCCGTGACGGTCTGACGTTAAACCGTCCGGGGAGCACAAGAGGCTGCGCACCGCTGGTTTAGAGGTCAGGAAGCGGCTCGTTCACCACAGCGACTGTTGCTTTGAACATTTCGGACTTAGTCTCAGTTCACTGCATTTGTGGGATGTTTCAGAGAGCACTCGATGCAAACCAAAGCATGACTAGGACAACAACAGTTTAACAAAGAGTCCTTCAGTTATCTTCGGCCCAAGTTCAAGAACTCATTAGTTCAGTGGTTCACTAGAATTGAGATAGCAAGAACATTTTGACAGGAAAATAACGGTGCAGGTTTCAACTACTGAGACCATGTCTGATCCAATAAGCAGCCGTGCAACACCACTGCAAGCTATGCAGCGAAGAGATCTGATAATCAGCATGCAGCACGGCCTGCTGATTCATACGGAGCACTACAGATGTGATATTTGCTTTCTATTCATGCAGAAGTATCAAGAAAACAAAAAGCTGCTGCACCGTCTCATCTACAGAAAATATACAATAGAGCTGAGGCAAGACCCGTGATGCTGTGTGAGGAAGTTAGGAAGCACAGAAAAGTGAGGGTGGGAGTAACAGATGAAGTCTGTATGGCCTGTGATACCCACAGACACTGAGCTAGTGTCTGTGCAGAAAGACCAATGAAAATGGGTAAAAGAACATGAGGCGGGTGGAAAGGTGAAACTGCAAGTAGTGAATGTGGGCACAAGAGAGGAGGTGAAGGTGCAGGTAGGGTGGAGAGGTGTTGGTGTAATATCTGAGAGGGAAGGTTTACAAGATGGCAGCGAGAGCCGCTCTGATGTTTGGGCCCGAGACGCAGCACTGACGAGAGGCGGAGCTGGAGGGCGTGAGATGCTTGTAGTGAGTAATGAAGATATGAAAGGGACAGCACAGGCGGGAGTTTGGAGACAGAGGCGCGGCTGGCATGGTTTCTACATGACCTGCTGCCAGGCAGGAGGAGAGGAAGACCACAGAGGAAGACCACAGGGATGCAGTCCAGCCAGGTAACAACAGACCATGCTCGGAACAGGACGATGTGATCGCAGATGACCTGCTGCTGCAACCTGGAGCAAGTTCATTCATTTGCTGTTAGTGAACACTGATCAGTAAGTATCCCAAGAACTGACGGGGCTCACAGACGTGTCAGGCCCTGAATGAACTCAACATTATGAAGGCAGGGTGCTTTGAAAATAACTTTATTGTTTATAAGAAATAACAGTGAAAAGAAGACAACGTGTCACTGCTTACATTTGTTTCTCACCATTTCATTCTCTCCAGCGTATGATTTCCATACTTTGTAGCTATGTAACTGCAAATGCCACATCGAGTGTGTGTGTACAAACACACACATATGCTTATATATACACATACATTTATATATGTATATATAAAAGGACTGTGTGGAGGTAATACATGTTCTAAGATTTATGAGCCAGTATATTTGCAATAATTAACAGTAACTAGTGCATTCTTCTGACAAACCTGAAAACGCTGCAGTTACAAGATAAGCTTACACACAACAGAAAGAAAGAGCATCATCTTCAATTTGTCTTCTGTCATAATTTAAAAGATTGAAAAATAAAACATTTTCTTGACCCACAGCAGATCTGAGCTGAAGCCAGGTCTCAGAGTGCAGCGTCTCCAACCTCATGTAGAGGAACTTTGCAAGATAGTCACAGTTTTATCAAAGAAAGCCTACTCAAAAGGTAGAAAAACAAAGTACAGAACAAATTTAAGAGCTTATTTATATGGACACAACATATTCAAGCTTTTTTAAACTTTCCATCCGTCATCGTTCCAGTTCAAGCACAGCTACAAACAGCTGTCCTCAGTGGCCGAGCAGCCCGGTGCCTAGAGGAGGTCACAGTGATTAGAAAGGAATACAAACACTGTCCGGTCACACGCTGTGTCACAGGTCTGTATGACGAGTGATATGATGAACTACACCGGATGAAAACATCGATCGTGGCAAAATACACAGTACACACAAAATTTCTTTCTCTTCTACCGCCCCCACAAGAATCACGTGACAGTACGAGAAAGAGCCGTCAGCTGCTCCAAATAAAGCTCAGACTCAAACGTTAGAACAGGCTTTCCCCCGCAGCACGCCGTGTAATAGACACTCACAAAGAAACAACTCACATCTAAACATGTTAGCTTCATGCGTGGGCCAACACACCCGACCCCGGGTACACGACGCCCAGCTGGAAACACGTCACACAGGTCGAGATCAGAGTTTACAGTGAAAGCACTACTTTGTGACGTGTGGTTATCAGGATGAGAAATGTCCTATATGAGAGTTTGGTCACATTGCACAGCCCTAACACCAGCTTGGGTTTGTGTCTGTGAAGGATCTCAGTCGTCCACGTCCTCATAGTCCAAGGAGCTTGGAGAGAAAAGCGTCTGGACTTCTTTAAGTTTCTCAAAGACGTTTTTAAGATCTCATCCGAGAAGCTTCTTCAGTTCTGAGGAAGCTTCTCGTCTTCAACGAGCTTTCCAAGCTCATTAGACTTGACTTTATGCTTTCTGCTGCTGCCAACTTGTGGATGGGACTGGGAAAACAAGGACACTGGCTGCCTGCTGAGGCGGGTAGGCCTGTCTTTAATAACACGCTGCGTTAGGCTGGGATTGTAACAGCGCTCATCATTAGAAAACAAACACGTCGTCTCTCGTTATACAGCAGCAGCGCTTATGCATTCACACACATTCATACTCCGATCAGCTGGTTCAGTATCCAAGGATACTTTGGCATGCAGACTGGAGCAGCCAGGGATCCAGTCAGTGCAGGGGTGTCCAACTCCAGGCCTGGAGGGCCGGTGTGCTGCAGGTTTTAGACGTGTCCCTGACCTCCTCAACATGTCCTGAAGTTCTCCAGAGGCCTGGTGATGAACTAATCATGTGCTTCAGGTGTGCTGACCCAGGGTGAGATCTTAAACCTGCAGGACACCGGCCCTCCAGGCCTGGAGTTGCCCACCCCTGACCTACAGCCAGCACTACCTGTGGCTCTCCTGCAGCTATTAGACAGCGGGCGTATATAGCGTATATACAGCCTGTTTCAGACACAAAGAACTTGGGACAGCCCACATGTGGTTCCTATTCCCAACATTTGGGCTTGTTAGTAAGAAAGAGTTTACTGGTGTCATTCCAACTAACGTATTTCACTTTTTTCCTGCAGCTGCTCCATATCCCAGCTGCAGTGGCTCTGTGCCCTACACTGTGACCCACCACTATTATGTTTGAAGTCAAACATGCTCACCTTTAAATCCCTCCTCAGGCATTCTCACTGTGAACAAAGAGGAACAGCCAATTTAAGAAAGCAGTCCTTCTTTTAATCCAGCTGTAGTGGAAGCAAACACAGGCCTACTTACCTTGATAGACATCATCCATTGCAGCGTAATCTGCTATTGGCTCATCAGCCTGCAGCCAAACAACAGAACATATTTGGAGGAAAAGGAAAACGTACGGATCCCACTGTAGACGTCAGATTATCGTTCTAGCGATTGTTGTGTCAGGATGAGGAAACTGTGATGTGTACCTTCAGACAGATGATGCTCTCCGGGATGATTCCCAGGCTACCCAGTGTGGCTGAGTCATCTGTCAGACTTTTTCCATCAATGAAGAGATTTTGGTCAAATGGAGCCACAGAGAAGGCGTGCATGATCTGGACAATGACAGGCACAGTGGATTTAGTCTGGTCAAACTGGCCCACTCACTACTTTGTGTTCACTAATCTGAATTCCTCACTTGTATTTTCAGCTCTTTCAGAGTCTGATTAGCTGAAACGATGAGCGCTTTCTCTCCTCGGAGTTTCCTGTGTCGGGTGCTCCTCCTGATTCCACCTGGTTTGGCCACGTTGGTCACAACACCAGCAGCAGCTGTGGACACACTGCTGTCACTCAACTTTAGCCGTTTTGCACCGTCCTGTGACTGAAAGAAACAAAGTCTTCATTTGTAACAGATGATGAATTTGAGTCAAAGATACAAGTCTTAGGGGAAACCCCCCCAAAAGACTCAGGGACATCTGTGCGTGCTGCTAGCAAAGGACTAGCAAACTAAATGGGTTTCTTCAAGGTCACGTGAGGTTTTAGAGCCGTCACAGCAGAAGTGACTGTAAAAACAAACTCCTAGATTTAGCAGCAGCATCATTACTCAGACATTTCTTGTAGCTGCTTAGCAGACTTGCACTATAATGAGATATTTTTGTCTGGGTTCATTCATTTTTCTCAGTCGTGTTAGTGCAGAGAACCTGCTGTAGCCTTGTGCACTTTCTCTGCTGACAGCTTTGACGACATCGCTCGTTGTTGAGCCGAGACGTCCTGCCACTGAATGTAATTACTGAGACCTTTCTCTTGCAGACGCGTGGTGCTTGTGTGGTTACCTGGCTGAAGTCGGGGTCTTTCTCACCATCCAGTTTGGGATGTTCTTCCTTCTCCTCCTCTGCTTCAGAGCTGCTGACGCTCAGCTCTGGAGCAGCCTCCTTTATCATCTACGCACAGGTAAATAAATGTGACAGGAGAGGCTGTTAGACACAGTCAGCGCAGCAGCTATGAAAAGTGTCAGGTTTGAGGTAAAAGGTCTTTACTCTTTTGTCTTCAATAACTTTGCGTATATAGATGGTGGCTTGGGTATACTCTCTGAGGTCCCTCTGCTGCTGGAAAAGGAAGCTCTCTCTGCATTCCCAACACAGATCTGCACACAAACACATCCATTTGAAATAAATCGAGGACAAAAGCCAGAGCAT